GTTCGATTCGGATCATTTCGGGTTTTCGGTTATAGATCGGATCTTCATTTTTCGGGTCATTTCGGTTTCGGTTTCGGATATTTCGGTTCGGGTAATCGGTTCCGGTTCTGTTTTGCCAGCTCTAGTGGTGATTCTCGATTCCAAATTCTAGTTATCATTTATCAGGGAAAAATATACGGGACGGATGGAGCATATCATACTTGTGTGTCAAATTTGAAGATACAAGATTGGAAGGACATAAACTACTTACTGAAAAGTCTAAAAACAAGACCGGTGCTTACAGGTAGGAGAGATTTTGTTGTCAGTTTCTTGATGAGTGATAGCCACACGGACGCTTCTGCTCTCCATTGCCCCATAGTATTCGAGCCAACATTATTGTTCTTGTTTCTCTGGGCAGTACCAACATTTGCTGGAGTTTGAGGTCCTTTGGGCTGTTTTCCTTGAGAATAATTGTCATGCCATTGATTCCGAGATCTATCACTAGCAGCTGAAGATGACCCGTAGACTCCAGTGCCACCTATGGCATAACTTGAGTTCTTCTTATATACATCTTTGGCCACTTTAAATCCCTGAGGCACAAACTGCTCATTTTCACACACTTTGTACAGCTCTCCAGAATAGAAGAGGCAATGCTCCAAAGGGACTGGTCTTTTAGCTGTCCTGATGATAAAAGACATGCACACGAAAAACAAAATCAACAAGGTAACAGCAAATTTTGAAAATAAAACTACATTTATTTGTATTGATTCATTGTTGACTTGAAAATGAATTGTGTTGATAACTCCACAGGGATTTCAATTTATTTCAGACATTAGTTTAAATAGGTCTGGCTGTCCATTGATTCATTTTGACTTCAAATTTCATAGAAATGGTCTATCAATTTCGTAGAATTTCATGGTAACAGTCCTGATAATTTTGCATCATATCTAAGCAAAACATACAAACTCAGTCCTCAAAGGCATGTTTATCCAATTTGAAGGATAAAAAAAAATCGAAAGAATCTCTATTTCAGAAAAGTTGATGAATTACTTACTTTCAAGTAAAAACAAGTTGATCACAATGAATACTTCCATCCTAAAAATGACCAACACTACATCACTACCCATTTTGTCAAGGTTGAAGATCTAATACTGTTCATTTTGTAAATCAAGGAATAAAACAATGCCAATTTTAAAAAAGGAATCAGTTTTAAAAACCAAAGTGTCCCATTCAGATTGACAATAAATGTGTAAAGTGTCAAAATGATACTAACCCAGTAACACAAATTTTCTTTTGTTTTGTCCGACCAATCCAGTCAGCAAATTCTATTGTGTTTGGTACCTACAATAATTAGACAAACCATTGCTAGGGATTAGGTAAATGAAAGGGAACAAGAGAGAGAGAGAGAGAGAGAGAGAGAGAGAGAGAGAGAGTTGATATAAATCTAGTACACTAAATGATCACTGCTGCTTTTGTTTAACAAGATTTTTGGTACAACTGCACCCAAAACTCCAAGTCCTCCTCGACATCTAGAAAAGAAACCAAGCCGCCAGCTTGAACTTATACTCCTTTCATCTCATATCTTTCTTCTAGTTTTCTTTTTTGTGTCTACCAATATATTCCTTCTTATTTCCTTATTTGGCAAATAAACAACACCAAATTGACTTTGTTGCCCTCAACCCACAACCCATTACTACCGCATGTAATATCCTACTTTACTACTCCACCTACCCTAATCTACTAACCCATTTACTCCCCTAACCTACTTTACTCTTTTTATCACTTTATACCTTTTATATACTAACAAGGGCAAAATATGAAAGTCAAACATTTTTCATCTTACAATCAATCTCAAGAAAAGTCAAAACAGGAAGAAACATATGGGAGAGACGGAGTATAATAATATACTCCTCTACCCCGCCCCCTCCCCAAAAAAAGGCTACACAACTCACCAAGAATGGAGATGGAGAAAAATAAAAATGTGAGATTAAAATGTATGCAGAGAAGAGAAATGATAAAAACCACATAATTCTTGCTTATAGAGGGAAGTTGAACATATTTGGGGATAAACAAAAAAGGAAGTTTGGAACCATTTTTTTGAACAAAGGGAGTCTAAATTACTGATACAACAACATTACCCCAGTGCCTCAAAGGCTGCCGCCCACTGCGGGGTAAGGGGGGTCAAATGAATGCAACCTGTCCCCTATGTTCAAAACATAGAGCAGACATAAACTACTGATACTTGTGCCAATAAATTGATTTTTTCTCCTTTTGGAGGATGGGATATACTCCAAATTGATAAGGAACGGCACTATATCCATCACTATAGTTACAATCCAACTTAACATGCAGCAGATTCATGAATAATTAACGAATATGGCAATTAACAACTCATCACCATCTCATAGTCATCAGATTTCCATGCAATCAGAAACCCCTAAAATTCTGAAAACAGATTTTAGAATTTTATCTCACTATTCCTTTGAAAAAACTAATAAGGTTGCTGCTAGAACTGTCAGATTGGTTAGTCAAATCGGACACACAGACAAGCACGCACACGCACACACACATATATGATGTTTGAAAGACAAGCAAAAAATTACTCTCTTTGTCCCAAAATAAAGTTCCACATTGGGATCAACGACACAGTTATGAAGATTTTTGAAACTGTGATCGAATTTTATACAAATGAGAAATAATATGAAGCACAATTCTTTCTTTAAAAGGAGATTGGAACCTTATTTTCAGTTTGGGATAGACTAAAAAAGAAATATGGAACCTTTTTATGGGACACAATGAGCATTGAAAAGAACTTCTGAAAATAAATAGTACTCGTGTATGGAATACAGTACAATAGAGTTCAAAGAAAAACTATTATACAATGGTTCTTATCACTTTTGTTTCATAAAGTGCACTATTTGCACTAAACAAGTTCAACGAGTCAGACAAGTAGCATTTGGGTTCGGTCATGTTTGACCAAATTTTAGCAAGTTATTTAGGTTCAGTCACTTTCAAGTTCAGGTTTAAAAATCTTCTCAAATTCCACTATTTTTGGGTCTAACTGGTAGCCATATTTTGACTGTCCTAGTCACTACATGAAGAGCATTGAAACTTCTACTTTGCAAGTATGCTTTTTCTGGAACGAAAATAAAATGCTCACTAACTTTGGACAATTGAGTCTTGAGACAATGGGGGCATTTCGCGAATGACATTTTCACTCCAAATTCATCATCCTACCGAGTCCTGACTCTGTTGGGATCTAGGTAATTAAGACATTGTCTCACCATTGATCCATTGATAGATTTACTAGCCAAATTATCATAAAAGTAAGACGCACTAGAAGTTTAATGTGCTCATTACTTACCCAAAGCTAAAAAAAGACACTTTTAGCTCCAGTGGCAATGGATGCAAAATTTGTAAATAATTGCGTGGTAATCAAATCTTCTAATTTGAAGTGTCATTAGGCTTACCGTTGCGGAAAGAAGTACAAAGTTTATGTGTCTTGGAAGCATGATGATAACTTCCTCCCAAACAACCCCTCTTTCAGCATCATTCACATAATGCACTTCATCAAATATAACCTACCCTCCATCCAAAAATCAGCCATCGATTTCTTAAGAAATAAGTAAAGGTTGTAGCAAATCATGAATTAAGGCAAGGGTTTCTACCCATTCTATATCACGAATGATATCGGCGCCTCTATAGAGCATGGACCTCAATATTTCAGTAGTCATGATGAGACAAGAGGCTTCAGGCCGCAAGCTAACATCTCCAGTAAGAAGGCCAACATCAAATTTGCCGCAGAAGTCCCTATACTTCTGGTTGCTGATAGTTTTGATTGGAGCAGTGTAAACAGCTCTAGTGCAATGCTGCAACATGTTCAGTTATATTACTCAACGTTAAGCATAGGCAAAAGCATTTTTTCCCATTGAAACTTGAGACTATATAGCATTTATATTCACTATTAAGACAAAAACGTAAAGTAAAGTGATACTTTGGATGCCAAAGCAAATGCATATTCTGCAACAACTGTCTTCCCTGCTGATGTATGAGCAGCAACAAAAACAGAGTCTCCCCTTTCAAGATAGTAGATGGCCTACAATCAACAAGCAGCAAAGATGAACCCAATGAATGTCAGAGTAGAATATAGATGGACAGCATAATGAGCATCTGACCATAATACAACATCCTATTCACCAAAATCCAACTGTTCAAGGAACAAGATTATTGATTCTTCTTTATTGTGAAAATCCAAGCACCTCCTTTTGAAACGGATCAAGTTGGAATGGGAAGGTTAGAGCCATATCAGGTATAAGTTCATCAAATCGTTCCACAATTTCCTTGCTGCCTCCAGTTATAGCCCAAGCCTGCAGTAATGATTTTAAAAAACGAAAAGCAAAATAAAAAATTCAAATGCATGTAGCACCTTAAAGGTAAGTATTTGATAAATTTGTGCAAAGTCCACACTATACCTCTGTTTGTTCATGTCCACTACTGCCCCTTTCTCCGTCCAACCTTAAAGTTGAACCTCCAGAGGCAACAGACAGAATCTCATCCAAAACTGATTTACCAGTCTCTGTAACGTCACCAGCAACTTCCAGCTTGTTGGCCTCAGCATCTACTGGAGGTGACTCTGACTTTATAGATACCTCTTCGTTTGCATCAGCTTGCAATATAGAAATATTATTTAACAATAACACTGATGTTAGACTTTAAATGAAACTATATTTTGCTAAAATAATAGGAGCTTTTCAATCTTACTGAACAGCAAAGGTGTGTATATGAAGAAGCAAGTCAAATTCAATCAAAGAACATTGTTGTTGGAGTAGTCGTATAAAGATGTTTTGAAATTTCAAGTCAATATAACATGACCATAAGATAGTTTATGGCATCAAAGCTGTAAGAGTACAAAACTAACTCCAAATATGTTGGCACTTTCATGTTACTCACTTTGACTGAAAATAAGATGAAACAGACTACAGCACAAATTGGTTCCTTTACTGTTACTCTGTTTGACACATAAATAAGAAACTAAGTGGCAAGAAACAATTGTAACTCAACTTCTCCAAGTGAATTGACTAACAAGTAATGTATATCCTGTTTCCCAATGATCTTGTATGACTCATCCAAAGTTTCAGAACTAGAAGATACATATGAATGTTCTAAGTGAAACTCACAACATGCAGATCTTGAGATCACATTGTATGTTCCACTGTAAACAACATCTCTTTGGTGCCAATTAATTCTTCAGTTAAAAATAAAAAACTCACTTGAAACTAAACGTCTAAACATAATTGGCTGTAAATCATGAAAGTTTTGCTGTTGCCAATAAATACTTAATGTAATTAATCTATCAATTTTCTAGTGTATAAAGCATCTTATAGATACCCTATGCTACTATAGCCACTTTTATATTATTAGTATGATTCGTGTTTGGCTGCATTATTCACCAACTTCCAAAACAGGCAATACTATATGGATATCGCAGGCATTGCCTAGTTTTATATGATCAAATGATTCAAAGCTGATAAGTTGGGTCTATCTCACCCCAAAATATCCTCAAAAGCTAAACTCAACCTAATGTGGGATACTTAAATCACACAGCTCAACTCAGACTGGGGTCGACAACTGAAAGAGGGGACAAATGGGCCAAACGGGCACCAAGGGGATTGCCTCAAACCATGGGTACCGAACAAACAAACCACAACCAGGCTGAGCTTTGATAACATCTTAAGTTGGATCTATCTGTACCCAAAAGGATCCTTAAGAGGCAAGGTTTACCTCACACTTATATACGTAGTACTCCCTCCGTCTCAAAATGTTTCACACTTTATGCAAAACGAAGTGAATTTTTAAGTTTTTTAAATTCATTTTATTTAAAGATTCGTATAGAAATTAAAAATAAAATTTACATATTTAAAAACTACCTCAAAAATTTTACAAAACAAGAGGTCACAAGAATATTTTATTTTATCAAATAATCAATCAAACCGCACAAATAAACAGAAATTTTTGTGACTTTTGAATAGTGAAGAATTTAATTGTTTTTGGGGAGGGAGCATATGACTTAATAATCCAATGGGTATAACTAAGAAAAAAGATCAAGCGAGTGATTCAAGTAATAAGTTCAGCGAGAAAATATGATTAAGCAATCAATCTTTATTAACCCATACTTCACTCATTGGAGTTCATGGGACCATAACAAATGCATGAAGGTTATACAAACCATCTTCTAAATAATCTGCGATGTCTTCTTCCCAAGCCTTCTTAAATAAGTCATCGAACTGCACCGATAAATTATTCTGCATGGATCCAAAAAAGATTCATATCTCAGTGATGCGGGTAATTTAAACTATTTACCTCGTTTCCTCTGCAACAAAGGCATGCATAAAAGTAATCTCACTAGTCACTAGCAAAACAAACGATGAATATATGAAATGCACATAATAAATCAATCAACTTTAAAAAAAAGAAAGACGGTTAAAACAAACCAGTTTTGTATTTATTGTGCTCTTGACTTCATTCTGATCCTTGTAAACATTCCATGAAGATGAATGCGCCTTCATGAATGTACAGATTACTTGTCAAAATGATATCTTATAGAAACATCATTATGGATAGAGTATAACACTGGATTGCATCATCAACCTATTTCCAACAAACAATTGTGAAGTACCTTGAGATTGCCAAGATCAAGACCTTGTTTGAAGCCTGGAGGAATGGTTTGGGCATGACCCCCACCAAGCACCTCCAACACCCATTTTCCACTGGAAGCATCACCAGGAAGAGTCCTTTCCAGAGACCCATCTAGCCCCCCAGGACGAAAAGGTCGGTTGGTGATGCTTCCCCTGACAAAATCTTTGGGAGGCCCTGTAATTTGTGGCAAAGCACCCAAATCCTCAGCTCCTGCTGCAAGCTCTGATACATCTATCTACACCATCATAAAAACACTTCAGAAAGCACTAAATCTACTTGTATTATTAAATAATATGAGAAACGGTACAAGAACAAGTTGAGAAACATGTCTCTTTTATGGGGCGGAGATAGTGAACAATAGAAAAAATGTTACTGCTGCATGCCTCTATGGACTTCGGCTCCCATCTTCCTTCCTGTTGATCCTTTGGACGTCTAAAAGGTGCTTCCCATTTTGGAACAACTATAGTCCGTGGTAAAGAAGGCTCGGGAAGGATTTTGGCTCTGTCAAACCAGTCAAACTCCCACTGTCTTCCAACTTTTTCAGGGGAGAACTCATCAGTATCCAACTGAGGCAAGAGATATTTATCCTTAATATATTTTTCTATTGTTTCAGGAGTTTCCTCTGGGAATGCAGGAGGCTGAAATGAAAATCAAGTTCAATGGGGTAAACAGTAAAGGTTAGAGCAAATTCTTAGTTCCTAAATCTTACTGTAAAATTGTCAGCATGTATTCATAAAATGGACCATTAAGGACGTGCTCAGTAAAGAATAAGCATTAAAGGTCTGGAGAAAGGGGGCAATATGTACACATACCTTACCTCTACCATAATGAGTTAGAGAGACTGTTTTCGTGAACTCTACACAAAGAAGTCAAGGACGCGAGAAAACAATGCAGAGAACACACTAAAATAGTAAAATATAACCACAAGCCCACAACACAAAACAACAGAGATATAAGAGGGCCCAATCCTTGACAGGTCAAGAGGCCTCGCACACGATCCTCACAAGGACCTCACAACTTTATTCATGTATTTCCAAGAGCACCTGTCAGAGGCCATGTTTAATCTGGGTTTCTCATATCATGTCTCTCCTCTTCGTCACCTCAAATGAAATACTCTCTGCTCTCATCACGGGTGTTGCCACATCACGGCAATGAACGTGACCAAATCTTTTCTGTCTACCCTCACTTATTCTATCATTAATAGGTGTGAATTCTAGCTCTAATCAAAAGACCGCATTTGGTACAGTGTCCAACAAGGTACAACCTAACATCCTTATCTCCGCATCTTCAAACCTCAGTTCATTACACTTATTAATCACACAACTCTCAAAGCCATACATCATACTACTATCATCGCCAATTGAATGACTACCTTGTACAAATTGTCTTTCAGTTTCAAACGAAACACATGCAAAAATAAAAGCACTGAATCTACATTAATCATGAAAAAGCATATGCTGAACCAGATTGGAATCAAATACTAACAAGAACGAAGGGGAGCGAATCTATAGGATTAGGCCGCTCCACGGGAGATAGAGGCTCGATTGTGAGGTGACCGCTGTGCCCTGTGAACCCGACCCGGAAAGGTAGCTCCTTTGAAGCCTCTAGTGGATTCATGGCTTGCGCTTTGGCTCTCTCTAATCCTTGTTCAGATCATAATCCGCTCTGTGCCAAGGGTATTTGGCGAGGATGAGAAGCTCTGGAAGTGAAGCAATAGACACACAGTGAGTTGAGCGAAGAAGAAGACGATGGGGCTCAGATGATGGTCCGTAGTCACACCGTACTTGGTCTGGTCAGGGGGTCAGGGATCAGTACTAGTTCTGCAACTTCTGAAGCTTCTGCTATGTGTGGGTCAAGCGGGCGGTTAGGTTTAGCTTTTGACATAATGTTTTTAATTTAACTTCCACATTTCATATTCTTTGAGTTCCTATATAGTACAACCGGATGTACATAGAGATAGGTACATCCGGGTATTACTCATTCTGAAGTAGAGTAGTACTCATTCTCGCACAAACATAACTATGATGTGGTACTAATTCTAAAAAAATGTAGTACTCATTCTAAAATAATGTAGTACTCATTTTCACAAATTTATTCAATACAATTATAAAATTTATCTACAAATAACGTAATGTACATTCTAAAATAAAATAGTACTCATTCTTAAAAAACTTAATGTTCATTCTCAAATAAATAAAATTCATACCATCCATATTTTTCTTTTTTCTCTCACCCCTGCAACCATCGGCTCGGCTCCATCGGCTCCGATCAGATCGATCGACTCCTCCACAACGTCTCCCATCTGGCGGCCATCTCTCCTCCGGCCTATCAACAGCTTCCTCCATCGACGGTGCACATCTCCCTTCCATAGACGTCTCCCATCTGGCGGCCTTCTTTCTTCCTCCAGATCTGACGCAGCTCCTTCGACGCAGCTTCCTTCCTTCCTCCGACCCGACCCGACTAGCTCCTCCTATACACGCCATTTCTTCTTTGATTTACCGGCTGTACCCAATTTTGGGTACAGCCGGTTGTATGGTATAATTTGTCATATTCTTTCCATATTTTTTAAATAATGTTAGAATCACAAACAAAATTTTTATAAAAATCACAATTTTTTTCAAATAATAGTACAACTAATTAAAAAATAATAACTAAAATACATAATTAGTAAATTTATGCATTTTGTGAGTGTTTTGTTTGTGACTCTAATATTATTATTATTTTTGTTTTTAATTCTTTCCAAAAATGAATTAAAAGTTATACAGAATATTATTCTTATATCAACTATTATTGTTGTTGTTTTTGTTGTTGCTGTTATTAATATTATTATTTTTTGAATGAATTATTATTATTATTATTACTATTGTTGTTAAAATAATGTATGAAATAAACATTGAATAACTTGTAAATGCACATATAATTAATATACAATAAAATCATGCATCCAGTTTTATAATATAGAAGCATTCAAAGACCTGCAATGATAAATTTATTTATTACAAATTAGTTTTTACACTTTTAATTAGGTGTTCTTTTCTTTTTAGTAATGTGATTGTTTAATTATTTTTATGTCATATATTTTTCACATTTATTTGGGAGAAATAAAGAGGATTAATCAAAATACATTAGAATAGTGTGCCACACCAACACTTTATTTCACATGCATGCATGCATCAATATTACTTCTGTATTGTTATTTCATAATGTCAACTAATTAATCAAGAGTACCAATTTTAATCGATTTTTTGACAAAAGAGTATTTCACTTTTATTTTAAATATTAATGGTTGTTTTAATTTAGTTTAGAGAACTGCAACATGTTGGGAAAACCTCAATTTACGTTGGCAACTACTACAATTCAATCTACGAGAAGTAAATTGAGGTTTTGTCATTACTTTTGAGAAGAATCATCTCATTGTTTAGATTGGTGTAATCCACGAACCTATGCCCCTCATAGATTAGGAGATTTTTCTCAGAACTACGTAAATATATCAATGTGTCTTATTTACTTTGTTTATCTGCTTTATGTTATGAATGACTCAGAAAGTATATCTACTTTTTATCCAATGGTAACTTTTAGTGCCAACACTTTTAAAGTTAACGTGCACCATTACAAAATTATCTATTAATGTGAACGCTAATCACGTACGTTATTCCGAGACAAAGCCTTAGCCAGCAGCATTAGCTACTAATGAGTAATGGACATTTATTTGTTGAAACCAGTTCTCTAAACAACTATACACACATGAATAATATGCAGAGCATGTGTAGTAAATGACTTTTGTAAAAAGATCATTTTAACATAGGGAGATTTATTAAATCCACACTGTACACAGGAATATGCAAAGCAGCATACATTCTGGTGATTATTCATTCAGACTGATAAAAAAGTGGGTATAGAAGAAGAAGAAGAAGAAGAAGAGTGAGCATATCATGGAACAGAGCACTCTCCAATGTTCCAAATATCATTTGCATACTGAGATATGGTTCGGTCACTGCTAAACTTCCCAGAGCCCGCCGTGCTTAGTATCGACATCTTTATCCATCTTCTCCTGTCCCTGCAAAGCAAGCAAGCAAGCAAAGCGCGTGAGTCTTGTCATGTTTCCATAAATGAAGTTTCAATAGGGAAAATATCATAATGCCAATGCTCCCAGGAATATATCTGAGATTTCACACAAATGCTACAAGATTGCATAGTTATAACCGACACTCCCAAGAAAATAAATGTTTTTTTTATAATAATACTCCAAGACTGCATATTGATCACACGTACACCTCAAAAATCGAGGTATCCATGTAAACTAAAAATTCTCCTGGTGTGTGAATATTGAGTTTCTAGGAGCACCTGTGTTAAATATGCAATCGAAGTACTTGTAAAATATCAAATTTCTAGGAGCATTGGCATGAATTTTTTCATTTAAAAAAAGGAAACGCGGTGCATGCCCCACTGAACGAGGGTATGGTGAAGGGCTAACCCCATGCATATTTTGCAAGGGCCGGCTTCAATGTAAACAACAACTCAACCGGTGCGCCAAGACTCTCCCATTGAGATTTCTAGTTGAATACCATGTACAGTCCAAAATACAAATCATACTTTTCTATTTTGTTCGTCCCAAAACAAACTTCCCACTTCTCGTTTTTCCAATTAACTAAGGAATGAAATATGTGGCTCACAAGTTTTCTCTCTACGCATTCCTTACTTTTTGAACACTTCTCTTAAACTACATGAACTTTATTTGGGGAGGAAAGAAATTTTCTTTTATGGATGGGAGTGTGTTGATGTCCACCGAAGCCCATCATGTACAAGAAAACCTTATATGAAATGAGCAAGAAATTTAATATCTCGTGTGCTATGGGGAAGTTGAAAATTTTCTTTTGTACTAAGGTAAAATCATTTCCACATTTGATTACTCAAGCTGGTTAAGAGTTATTGAAAGCAAGGAAGGAAGGCAAGACAATTAAGTACTTACTTGTAAGCTTGGTCAACCCTTGACTGTGCGTCAAGGTAGCTTGGGAAGTCGTGACCAACAAGAAAGTAATCACCACGACCATAACCCGAATCCCCTTCCAACGAGTCGAGCAGTTGAGTATAATCATAGCTCCCAAATACTCCACTTCTTATGTATTGTTTTGCTTCTTCAAACCGAGGATCCGGTTTAAACTGCGTCATAACTCATTATCATCAGTAACATGTAATTATGATATGGTTATAGAGTAGTTGAGTAGATCGGTGCGCCTTAGTTTGTAGTTTGTGCTGGTGGGTTTTTATGCTTTAGACTATAGTGTATGTATTTGTGTGCTTTTTGCTTACTTCTTAGAGTCGGTTTAGTCTATAAGAGATGTTGGGACACACACACACACACCTGACCGTTTTCTCTCTGTTTGCGCAGATGAGGCACTTCTTCAGCTCTTGCACCGAAAAGGAAAAAATTTTCTTCCCCAATTTCCTCTCTGATTTCTACATTAGCCCCATCCAGTGTTCCTATGATTAGGCATCCGTTGAGGGCGAATTTCATATTGCTAGTTCCACTAGCCTCCATGCCTGATGTACTGATGTGCTGCGAGAGCTCACTCCCCGGGATAAGTATTTCTGCCACTGAAACATTGTAATTGGGTACAAAAACTACCTGCAAATTTGCCATCATTACATCATTTTGTCAACAAAAAGAAGGTACTGCATTGCCTAAAGATGTGTTTTTGGGACTGAAAAAGCATGGAACCATATAAATGTGACTTTACCTTCAGATGGGCATTGACCTCGGGATCACTGTTCACAACATCCCCAACATCTGTCACAAGTTTGATGATTCGTTTTGCATTCGTATAGGTTGCAAATGCTTTCCCGCCAATCATGACAGTTCGTGCTGTTGTACTCTTACGCTCTTCCGGTCTCATCTCCTGAATAATGTAGAAAAGTATTATTAATAGAGTCTAACTCACCCCCAAAATATTCCTAACTTAGCGAATGTAAGATGATCAACACATCCATTCAACCAAAGATAGACTACACCCAATATATTTAGTGGCTGCCTTTTGTAAAATGTGGAAAAAAACATATTTAGAAGCTGATTTGGCCATAATAATCAAGGAGAAATAAAAAATGTACAAACTAAATACTTCCATGCACCTTCAGTTTCTTGTAGCGATAGACTACGCCCAATATATTTAGAAGCTGCCTTTTGTATTCATGGATGCGCTTGACTTGTATGTCAAACAGAGTATTCGGGTCAATGCTCACGCCAGTTACTCGCAGTATGTACTCCGCCAACCTCTGCTTGTTCGCCATCTTGGCTTTTTCCCATTCAGCATGGAGTTCTTCATCATCTGCAAACTTTTAAAAGTGAAAAAAATACCATGTCAAGACGTTAACTACATATTATACAAAATAGAGATAATGTGATTGTAAAATTTCATGAATTGTGGCTTACCTGCCGCAGATTAGCGAGTAAATCGAGATTTGTAATCCACTCATCAGTTTTTAACCACTTGGTGATGATATGACTCAGCTCAGGGTTGCAAAACCTTAGCCATCGGCGTGGTGTTATGCCATTGGTTTTGTTCTGGAATTTGGCGGGCCAGATGGAGACATAGTCGGTGAATAATTCAGCCTTCAGAATATCACTGTGTAGCTGTGCAACACCATTCACCTGCAGAGACATGATTACAACAACAACAACAACCCAGTTAAATCCCACAAGAGTAGGGTCTGGGGAGGGTGTGTGTACGCAGACCTTACCCCTACTCGAAAGTAGAGAGGCTGTTTCCAAAGAGACCCCCGGCTCAACGTCGAAAGTTGCATTACTTGACTAACTACTACTTCATCAATTAAAGAAGCGCAGACAGTTTAGAGATCCATTTTGATTTATTCCATCACACCCCAAAGCCAAAAAATGGTGAAATTTTGGCTCCATCGGAGATGATGGAAAAGTGCAGAGACATGATTATAGATAATAAAATATGTTTTATTAACCATTAAGCAGTGAACAGAAAGAAAAGGGAGAATAAAGAGAAAACGTGAGGGGAAAGAAAAGATAGGCTCAAACCCAACACCAACGAACCTAGTGGAATCCCAGAATCTAGGATCTGAGGGTGTGTGTATGGTCACTCTAAGCAGACCTTACCCCCACTCGAAAGTCGAAAGTAAAGAGATTGTTTCCAAGATAGGCTCAAACCCAAAAAAAAATTGTACGGAGTATTTGATACTCCGTATATTTTTGAAGTCATGTTATAACACCAGCCATTTGAGAGCCATACAGTGCTCTGCTCGGCCCGAAGTTGGTCCTACCCCAGCCGACCCCTTGCCCCCCCCCCCCCCCCCGTGTTGGAAGCTACATGGGTCTGTGGGGGTTAGGGTGGTAGGACTCACTGTCATTTTATGACAACCAAAATTGATGTCAAAAAAATCGTGGGGATATAATAATATGTGTAAAATTTTAACAATAAATAATCATGTCATTTCTTACTGTATGTGAAGAGATGACACACAAGTTAGCCATGCGCACAACAGGTTTCTCGGGATTCTGATCCAAAATCCGCATGCCAGATATCTTACTCACAAGACTAGGGTTCTCTGCTTGTACCATTGCAATAAACTGCAAGCAGATCGTGCGATTAACTTACTAATCCAGCTAACTCAATTACACAAGGACTGAATAAAAGAATTGTGTGGGTGAGATACCCGCTTGTCAATTTCTTGAATGATTTCCATATGTCGTGGAAGGAGTTTCCACATGACTACTTGTGACCATTTTTCAAGTGCTTCAGGAAGGACTGTATGATTCGTATAAGCAATCGTCCTGAATATGTAACACATTTGTGATCAACAATGTTAAAATAAGAAAAATGTCACTAAAAAAATCCACAAGCTATTTTCATGGAAACTGGCGGAGCCTTAAATTACTAAAAAGAATTCACAATGCAAATCAAGAAATGCAGAGAAGTATGAAAAGAACCTAGTGGTTATATCCCATGCTTCGTCCCATCCAAGACCCTGATCATCCATTAATAAACGCATTAGCTCTGGAATCGCGAGTGTTGGATGTGTGTCATTCAGCTGTACTGCCACTTTAGAGGGGAAGGAAGACCAATCAAGGGCACCCTTCCCATCATTCCTCTCCTTAAATCTGGATATGATGTCCTGGTGTTGACCACAATGTTGAACTATGGGTCACATAGCAAAAGACAAACTATACATCAAATATAACTTACTCCCTCTGTTATATATTACTTGGTAAAAATAAGAGTTTTGTTTCAAAAGCCTTTCTTGTCCCAAAAAGTGCCCCATTTCATAAAACTGAGCTATATTTCCACGTAAGTTTCCACTCAAAAAATAATACGAAGTAATTACGAACTAGTTCAATGTAATATTTTTTTAGCTAAAAAATAAGTAGAACTTCATAACTTTAAAGTTGCATCATGACCAAACATGATTCTTTTTCTCAGGTCAGAGGGAGTACTTCGTAATGGAAATGGAATAAAGAGGATTTGGCCAACCTGAAGCGACGCACTACACAGCAAAAATTGTTGTTTAAGTCTTAAAAGTTTTCCACTTTCTGTTGCATCCCCAGGATAAAGGACAGCACAAATCTGCACAAGTGAATGGCATGTTGCATAATCCAATGTATTAGAAGCAAGGAAACATTGTTTAACGTATGTAAAATAACTGATGTAATTAATAGTCTAATATAATACTCCGTAATAAATTGAGCCAAAAACAAACCTGGTGAGCCTTAGAATGAAGCTGTATAGCAGACTCATATTGCCCTTCATTGAATTGAAATAAGTTTAAGTCGTCTGCACTAGCTTTGGCTTCCCAAAGTCTAAGACTATTAGTGTTCTTTGTTTTATACCCAGGGATTGGAACATCATATGCGACTGCCTGTATGACCTCCCCACCAACCCATTTCCTCCTACACAAAGATCGGTAAATTTAAAAAAAAAAAACTGTATAAGGAATGACTAGAACACCTTGACTGGAACACATTTTCAAATGAAAACATTTTTTTCTGGAAAGATAACTATCGAAACTTTAGAAGGAAAATATTTTCTGTGATGTTTTGAAATTTGAGGAAAATGACTTGGGTGTGGCTGTATCCACACCCTTTTGGCTAAATCCACTTCGTTTGTGGTAAATAGACAATTTAATCATTATAGAACAAAAGGGAGAAATTTAAATAAAGCTAACTTTTAAGGACAAAATTGACCATTAAAAAAAGGGAGTGGAATTAGTCCCATCTGAATGACTTCCCAGAAACAATATGTAGTGCCATGAAACAATTTTCCGCAACACAACTTTCATAGAGAGACATAAGAATTTGAAGGAAAGTATAGCATAAGGATGTATTAGAATACAAGTATCAGAGCATTCACTCTGAGTGAGCACTTACGAGCCACTAGGATCAACCTGAACCTCACCAAAAAATCTGATAGGGAAGACAATGTCATGCCTTACAACTTCCCAGGGACTGAATTTCTGCATGAAATCATTCATAAAAAATCATCACAATTGATTAAATAGTACATGAGAACGAACCATTATGTAGTCGTATTTATCAAACCTCAAGCCAATCTTCAGCAACCTCCTCTTGTCCAGCTTTCGTGATGTGTTGCTTGAAAAGTCCATATTTGTATCTCAAACCATAACCCCAAGCTGGCAAATCTAAGGTTGCCATGGAATCAAGAAAGCAAGAAGCAAGCCTTCCCAACCCACCATTTCCCAGTGCTGCATCTTTCTCCTGTAAATTGAAATTCAGATGCATTGGATCCTAAGTCTGTGAGGTTTGTTACTTTACAAAGACATTTTGGTCTTAAACCTCATTATTCTAAGAAATTTCATTTTTTATCTATTAAACAGCGGAGCTTAAAATCACCCATTATTATTTCCATGGAAGTTAAATTCGCTCCCTCTTATAGGATATTACTTTTAATCTATCAATCAAACATTCACAAAGATGTGGGTAAAGGATTCTTTATAATCACAAACAATAAGATGAAGGATTTTAAAAACGAAAGAAAACATTATTACAATCAGTAAGTGCCTTTCTTTTCAACTCATTTTTAATCTAGTTCAATTCTGTACTTTTTTTATTAGTTCAACATTTTTAAGTTGGCAATTTGAATGAAGTTATTCACCTTTCAATTCAGCATTTTTCACTTCAATTGAAAAGAAAAGACCCTATGTGTGTTCATAAAGTTATACCTAATGTCCTAATCTTCTAGAGACGAGAGTTTGCAAAATGTGTTATTTCAACTGGAAAACATACCCAATTGCCAACAAAATCTGTTCTGGCTAGAAAGATAACGATAACTATGTTTATTTGAATTTTTAAAGGAATTTCACCTTGAAGAATGATCATCACGTTACACTACCTACCTGCTCAGAAACCTCCTCAAGTTTGTGTCCAAGCTGGTTCAGAGCATCAGCATAGGCGCCTTGAACGTCTAGGTTTCCAATTGCATTTGATAGAGCTCTTCCTTGGAGATACTCCATGGATAAGTAGTAGGTTTGCTTTGGATTCACTTTGTGGTAATGGAGATATGTATCATTCCATTGCTTGAAGTAAAAATGGAAATCCCAAAGAAACACTTAGATAATCAAATAACACATCATATTTAGCACAAAAAAATGCAAATTTTGTGAGAACTCATAAAAATTGGCAAATATCTCTTGGAAAAAAGCTTGATTTTTCTTTTTAGTTTGTCCCGAAATAAGGGTCCACTTTTCTTTTAAGTGGAAAAAGTATGTGTTTCATATTATTTCTTTCACCTCTCCATAAAACTCAACCAAACAATTTACCATTCTCAATAACTTTGTCGGCACAAATGTAAAACCTTATTCCAAGCCGGAGGGAGTATGTTAACTTGTTAAGTCATCCCGCCTCGGATGCATATATAAACAATCCAGTGTAAAAAATAACCTTGGGCTACTTCCCCTATTAGAGTTCAACTTTTTAGGATGAAACAACATGTCTTAATAATTCCTCTCTCTCACTTTATATGCCCGGCGTTCCTTTTTTGTCTATTGCAAAATAATACTTCGTATCTACTTTTCTTGAACCAAACTCACTTTTACTTTTTCTAATTCATCACTTCTCTCTTACTCTCTTCAACCCAAAATAAACACACTTTCCCTTTCGGTCCGTCCCAAATGGAAGTATATTTCTTTTTTGGTATGGAATATCAAATCAATTCCAGCCACACACTTTTCCCTTTTCAACACTTTTTTTAACCCAGTGTCTAGTCAAAGTGGACTTTTAATCTGGGATGGGGAGAACTTATTTGAAATGGTTTGACACAATTGGTTCCACATTATACTTTCATAAACAAATCAGTGAAGCAAACTACAAACTCTCTTTATTCATTACAAACAAGTAGGTAATCAAGACTTGCATGAATCATAACGCAGCTAACTCGATCTATATAGAAGGATTAGAGGCACTCCAATAATAACTTAGTTGCTGCACAAAAGGGTATGCGTATATGCCATTAAACAAGCAACCAATTGATCACATGAAAAATTCCAAAAGGATTAGCGATCCTACTTTGATCAATCGGTCGCGAACACTATCAGCAGTTGCATAGTATGCTTGCTCTGGATCAGACTTGAATAGCGAAAAATGAGGGCTGTACTGAGAATGATAACTGATATTGGATGCTATCTCTGATGGATCTTCGGCCAATGGATGAGCAACGGCCTGAACCTTGGGTAGCACATCCAATTTAGAAGTCACATCAGTGACAGTGGCCTTTCCAGAAGTTTCCATGTTTATAACCTACAACTGACCAAGAATTCACTCAATTAAAACTCAATTTCTGTTTATATCAAAAGAAAGAACAAGAACAGATGAATTATTACCAAAAGAAAATCAAGATCCGCAGGAGAAATAGAAAAAGAAATGATGAAATGACAATGGGTAGCTAGCAAAGATCAGAACTTTACAGAAACTGATTGAGAATCTCTTCAAGCTTCTAACTTTATCAAGAAAAACCCACAATACCCAGTTCAAAACTGAAGGTTTTCTGTGTGAAGTTGATCGAGGGCGGTGGGAGCTGAAAGAAGATGCGGAGTATTTAGCAGAAAAGGCCAAAAGAGGTGAAGAAAAGAAAGGGGAGAGGGATGTTGTGGCGGAATATGCTCCGTCTAGGCCAAAATACCGAAGAGACAAAGTGACAGTAATGGAGGAAATAAGTGTCAAGATGATTGATGGAACATGGGGGCGAGAGAGGATAACATGAAATTGTAAATAGTGTTTCAGAATTCACAAGTGACTCACACACAAGACAACGAAAGAGGCGTAATAATTTTGGGGTGACGATAAAAGTAACACGTATCACTTGACCACGTGGTACCCATGAAGCACAAGAAGTAGTATGCACCCAGACAGTGGAATATGGAGTGTGGAAGTGAAAGGCGAGAGCTACCTAATTAGCACAAAATTTATACCAAGTTACGAGAAAATATTCTACTCAAGTAAAATGCTAGGGGTATACCAAAAGTGTACCCAAACATCCCCCATCCTCTCCATCACCACAAAAAAAAGCAAGAAAAATTCAAAAAAAAATAAATAAAAATTAAAAATAAAATAAAATGAATGGTAAAAAGAGGGGTGATGTACATTTGGGGTACACCTTTGGTGTAAGGTGTACCCCTAGCATATCCCTTTACTCAAACCAATATTTTTCAAAGGAAAATTAATTCTCCAAAAATTGATGTTTATATTAAGATGAGGGGGGAGGAGGGATATATGTTTTGAAGATAATTTAAATCATTGGCGCCGGATAAATGGGAGAAAGAGATAGGGGCAGATGGCACGGGGTGGGGGCTGCGTGGTGGGGGTTGGGGTGGCAAAGTAGGAGGGGGTGGGAGACTTGGAGGTAGGGGGCATGGGGTGGTGGAGAGTGAGGAATATATTTGCCTTCACCAAACCAGAGGCGGACTCACGTTGAGCCCTACAGAGTCATGGGACCCCACGCAAGTCTCCACGTAAGATTGTATATATATTGAGCATTATGAAGGTTATAGTATATCTAAACCAAACGTTGCACTTAAAATGAATTCAAATAATGTAGCACATACATCGGTTTGTACATGCGTATTTTAAGGCTCGAGATACTAAGATTGATTCTCCAATGCCTGTTAGTTTTTTTCTAATGCTTTTGAGAGTGTTTCCTATTCTTTTTTGTATTCATCTTCATATATTATTACAGAGTAATTTATTTGGTGTACTCATCTTCATTATTACAGAGTAATGCTTTTGATAGTGTTTCCTACATATTTTTGGTGCATTTGGCTCTTTAAATGTCTTTTTTTCTTGTGATATTATTGAGTGTTGTCAAAATTACTTTATACATTGTGTCAAAGAGATTATAACTTTTTTGAATCAAAATATCCTTATTTTTAAGTAATAAGAGCATAGACATGCATTTTTTGTTGCTCTCATTTTTCGTAAATTTCAAGATAGAGGGTAAGGAGTATCTCAATTATATATTAGTAAACTTTTTCAAAAATAGTACTCAATAACTATGTATTTCTCAAATAAGTTCTTAAGATAAACTAATTATCAAGATAACACTCGTTAATTGAAAAATAATGTTTAACTTAATCCCCGACTAACAGTCATCAAGACAGTGTTAAAATGATGTTAAAACATAAAAATTAATTTTCCAAAGTGCTCCTTTCAAATTAGGTATTTTCTCAAATTAGTACAGTTTTGGAATAAAAATTCAATAATTATGGAAAAATAATTTTAACTTTTATAGGATGAAAATATAATAAATAAAATTATAAATATAGTCTCGTTTCATAATACTCATTTCTTCCCAAAATAAGGCTAATGTTAATAGAACATTTTCTACAGCTGTAATTTCGGTCAAACATCATAAATCGAAACAAACCATATAAATTGATGAGATGCGAGGAGTGCAATTTTTGACACTTTAATTAAATTCAAGGAGTTAAAAAATGCTAAAAAATACGTAGTATATGTACTCCGCATGTGTTTAGAGTTTAGACTATCCCTAATTCCCTAATGCTTCATGGCTTCCCTCTCGTGATTCTATGTGGCGCTGCCAATTCAGTCGCGTTCACGGATGAACACCACCATGAAGCTGGTCGTGGCTATGACCACGAAAGGTAGGCTCTTTTCCCCTTTTTTTTTTTTAGTTTTTTGTTTTATTTATTTTTATAATATAATGTCTATTTTGAGACATTGAAAGTCTCTGCAAGTACCATATGTATTCTCCTTATTTTGGCTTTCAATATTTTTTGATGGACAACACATATTCATTATCAAAATAGGAAATAAAATAAGTGTAAGGAAATTGTATGAGAGACATTAAGGGGTGGCAAATTCTTCCGTGGACCTAAGTTCCATGCTCATTATATAGACCTTGGTACATTTGTAGTATAAAAGAAGTGTGTCTTTTCAAAAAAGAAAATATTCACATTCAAGCCTATTAAAAATGTGAGAAAGCCTACATTTAAAATGTAGAATTTGGGACCAAGTAAGGGGGTGTTTACTCTTAAGGGATGATTCTCTTTGCTAGTACTTATTAACTTATTGTTAATAAGCATTTTTTTACTTATAAGATGTTTATAAGTCAAATATTTTTTCGTGGAAGTAAAATGACTTAAATGATACTCCCTCCATCACCATTTTAGTTAGAATTTTATTTTTCTCCCTCTTCTCGATAACTTTTGTTTGTTTGTGTTTTTTATTGGTTATTTAATAAAATAAATTGTTTTTGCCACCTCTTATTCTTTAGAACTTTTGTTGTAGTTTTTAACATGTAATTTTTATTTCTTATTGATGTACCAATTTGTAAATAAAATGATTTCAAAAATCTTGAGATTTTACTTCATAATTTCCAGTCTGTAATCAAAATAGGGATGGAGGGAGTAAATACGGAGTAAATCATTTGTTAATATTCATATAATACATGATGAGAACCAATTTTGTAAATAATCTGGTCAAAACGAAGAAACAAAGAAATTAGTTTAAAAATAAGAAATTAAGACCTACTTATTTTTTTAACTTATAAGCAACTTATAAGTCAAGTCAGCTTGTGAGCATGCATAAACATGTTATCATCTGATTTATAAGTTAAACACTACTTATAAACAGTTTTGAACTGCTTATAAGAAAAGAGAAACACATTTTTAAAAGAGCAATGCTAGGGGTACACCTTACTCCATTTGTCTCCACCCCTTTCTCCACCACTCATTTTTATTTTATTTTTATTTATTTATTTATTTTAGTTTCTTGCCCATTTATTTGGCCAGGAGGGGATGAAAGACAAATGAGGTACACCTTTGGTATACCCCTAGCATTTTTTCTTTTTAAAATGCAAGGAATTTTATGGTAGCAATTGAGTTTAAGCTTGTGTTTGGATGAGGTGAAATTAGAGGGAAAGAAAATGTTTGGGAGGAAAACACAATTCCCAATAAACTTTCTTCTGTTTGTTTGCAGGAGAAAATTGGGAGAGAATGGAAAGGGAGAGGTGAAAAGTTTTCTCCCCTTTGGAGGTAAGAAAATTGGGCAAAGGGAGAGAAAAGTTGGGAAATGACATTTTTATCTTCCACTATGTTCACTTTCCATATAGAATAAGGATAAAGTTGTCTTTTTATTTTAATACATTTTCTTTTCTCTTACCTTTTCTCTCTATTTTCTGCCTATCTAAACAACATTTATTTTCTTTACATTTTCTCTTCATTTTCTTTCTTCTCTATTTTCTTTCCATTCATTTTCTTTCCACACATTTTATCTTTTTATCCAAACAATGTGTAAAAGACATTCCACCTTTTCTAACTTTGTTCGAATGGAAGTCAAGAATAGCAATCCAGGACAAGGGTGGAAAGACAATTTTACCCTCTCCACCTTCCTAATCTACACAACAACTCCAAAAACAAAACAACAAGAAAAGAAATGTTTACTACTACTACTACTCCGAGGGGGCTCCACTCTGCACGTCTTCCGTGACTCAAATCTCTCTCCTCTAAAATTTCTTCATCACCCACAAATTCTTCCATTTTGATCATGTAAGTATATATATACACATACAGATATGATACATAACGCCATAACGGACTGTACATTTATCAAATTGCAATTTGAAATTTTGAATTTAAAAGAGAGAGAGAGAGAGAGAGCATGAAATGCTTCCATTTCTCGAATGGAGGGAGGAGGGAGGAAGAAGACGGCGGCGGCGGCAGCAGCGTCGTTTCAAGCTCCAGGTCTTCCGCCGTGGTGTCCTGGGCCAGGTCTCTGAGCATGGCATCCAGCGGCGTCGACTCGACTCGGCGCTCCGAGTTCGACTCCGAGTCCAGGGACTTCCCCGGCGACTCGCTCGGAGGCTTCGTCAACCAGCGCAGGGGAGACGATCTGCGGGTCTTCACCTTCGCCGAGCTGAAATCGTCCTCCCGAGGGTTCAGCCGCGCCCTGATGATCGGAGAAGGCGGCTTCGGCTGCGTTTATCGAGGCGCCGTTGGCGCTCCCGGCTCCGATTCGAGAATGGATGTTGCCATTAAACAGCTCAATCGAAATGGTTTCCAGGTACTGTATTTCATTTTCGCCTTTTTTTCTCTCGTTTTTCTAAATTTTGATTTTTTTGTTTTTGTTTGAGGCTTGTTTGGAAAGGAATCTAGTACCCGGAGTATTTTAAGTCTGGACCGGCATGGAGGCCGGTTCTGGAGGGATTCCCTTTTTTTCGGGTCAACTCGGGCCAATATGGGGTTTTGGTATTTTTGGATTGGGTCACTTCGGTTTGCGATTTGACCGGTCCAACTGTCTAATAACATGGCTTAAAACATGAGATTTGTACCACTTGACATCAAATGTCAAATGACATGGTGTATTAGCATTTTACTGTATTTTCTAGCATCATGTATTGTCATTATTTGATATTCTATGGTATAAAATGTCACAATGGCAAGGTGCATCTTAGTTTTTATTTTGGTATAAAAATATTGAGAGAAGTGGACCATTTATCTTTGAACTTTTATGAAATTGTATTGTTTACTTTTGAACATTAAATAGGGCACCGTTTACTTTCGAATTCTTCAAAAATTGCACGATTTACTCTTGAACATTAAGAAATGCACCAAAAATCCCTGAACAATCTAAATCGTTGCACCGTTGATCCTAAAATGCTAGATAGGGAGTGCATTGCTTCCAGTCTCTCCCCGCACGGATATTGCGAGTATGATTCATCTGACCCTTGTGAATTTTCGAAAGTATCATTCTCCAAAATTATCATCTTTATTTAAATGTTCAGTGATAAATCGTGCACTTCTTGAAGAGTTCAGAGGTATTTGGTACACTTTTTAATGTTCAGGGATTAACTGAGCAATTTCTGAAGATTTTAAGGATATTCGGTACACTTTTTTAATTTTCAAAGATAAATCGTACGATTTTTGAAGAATTCAAGTGCAAAGGATGCATTTTATTGAAGGTCTTATTTTGATATATGAAGCTTGTTGCAGTCGTGTTTATCCCTTATCCGCTCTATAATTTGCTAGTGAATTAAAAGGATTGAATTTTTTTCCCTGCGCTGGTAATATGTAAAATTCGAGCGATTGTTTAATGAGATTTTAGCCAAGTGTATTGTTCTTTTCCATTTTTACCCTTGCATATCCTTCAATTAATATGGTCCTACTTCTAGAGTTCTTGTGTACTCTAAACGAGTACTGCACTCCATATTATTCAATGTACCTTAGTAACTATGAGTACATTATTAAATACTAGAAGTACGTAATTAAATAAAGATATAATCGTCTATATCCACAACATTCTCATTAAAGATCATGAAGGCATGTTCTATATTTTTTTTTTTTGTTTAAAAGACAAAAAAATATATAGAACACGATATAACTCGGTTTTGTAAATGGTATTAGTTGAAAATCAGAAAAAGGAAATGACAGAAACATACACCCAAAAAGAAACCGTTTGATTTTCTCCATGAGTTGCCTGTCTGCTTTCATTGACTTTGACATTTGAACTGAGTTTGAATGTCACAAAGTACAAGGTTTTTTCCCCTTTCTCTAAGCAGATTAAATATCTTTGACTAATTCTTATAGAAACATGTGCGTTTGTCATAGGCCACCTCAATAGTCTAAAAAAACGGAAGGTTCCTCTGTTTGCTTTCCTCTTAGACTTTGCAAATTTAAATTTTGACAATGATTCAATTTACCCATCATTGGCTTTGGGATCTGATGGAATAAAGTAAATTTGCTTTCTAAACTGTATGTACTTCTTGCAATTGTGAAGTAGTTGGTCAATGCAACTTTCGACGCTCATCATGGGTCATCTGGAAACAGTCGTTCCATGTTTTAAACATAAAAGTCAGATTGCGTACATCCGACCCCCCCTTACCCTGCAATGGCCGGGAGCCGTTGAGGCACTGAGGGTAATGATGATGATGTTGTTGTTGCCCAAATGAACTCCAAAAAAAGAAGACAATTGTTGATTAACTTTTAACTGATCATTATGACTTTTGTGATAATGTTCACATACTTCATTTTTACATTAATTCATTAATTATTGAGTGAATTCCATAAATACTCTCTAATTACAAACAACTTTCTATATTTAGTCCTCAATTCTAAGATAGTATATAAGTAGTCTTCAATTTTGAAAATTATTCTATAATCGGTCTTTTAGAGACTGTCGAAAAATAGTCATATTTGTCATAAAAGACTATTTATGAAGTAATTTTCAAAATTTAAAAATCTTTCATGTAATATCTTAGAATTGGAAACTAAATATGAAAAATCAAATGAAATTAGGAGGTGGAAACCGTGAAATTTACTCCTTTTCAATATATCAATAGAGTGTTTAGCAAAAAAAATCAATAGATACATAATAGTCACTAACCAAGAGCAGAAAGAGTAAAACATAACCAAACTTACCATATTGAACATTTGCAATGGTGCATAGCATTCTTTTTGGAACATTGCATGCGAATATAAAAGGTTAGCTCCATTTTATGAAGAAAAAAGAAGCCCTTTGTACATAGAGCTATAGAAGAAAATCTTAGGGGTATTATTGTAGTAACTATATAAATGTTCTAGTGTTCAGGGGCATAAGGAGTGGATAAATGAAGTCAACTTTTTGGGGGTAGTGAAGCACCCAAATCTGGTGAGGTTGATTGGATATTGTGCAGAAGACGACGAGAGAGGGATCCAACGGCTCTTAGTCTACGAGCTCATGTGTAATAAGAGCCTGGAGGACCATCTGTTTTCCAGATCACTCAATGCTCTTTCATGGAATACAAGGTTAAAGATTGCCAGAGACGCAGCTCGCGGACTGGCCTATCTTCACGAAGAAATGGATTTTCAGGTGATTTTTATACACATTAACAAGAATTTTGCTGGTGTGTTGTGTACTGATGCCATCAATCTTCTAATGGGTTTTTGTTTTTTTTCTTTCTGTTTCAGTTAATCTTTCGCGATTTCAAATCATCAAACATTCTTTTAGATGAAGACTTCAATGCAAAGCTCTCGGACTTTGGACTGGCTAGCCTGGGACCAGCTCAAGGATTTGGTCATATTTCTACCGCGGTAAGTTCCGTTTATACCCCTCTTTTCCTCTTCTACACACACAAATAAGTTTTCATGGCACAAAATAAACCAGAAACAAGTAGCAGGGAGTAAGTATATCACTAGAAACATAAACAATTCACCTAAGACTAGAAAGACTAACCACATTGCTTAAGAAAGCAGTGTGTTTTAACTCTATATATAAACTATTTTCTAATGGTGGGTGTGTATATATATATGCGCACCCAAGTCTAAGAACTTGTCCCTGTACCAACGTAAGGTTGTCTAGGCGATCCAAACCACATTCTTCCATTGTGCTCTTCGATTTCGCTCACAAATTCAAGGTTATTTCCATCATTACCATTCGCGGTCTGAATAGCCCTCCCATTTCCATCAAGCATCACACCTACTGGGCTCTCAGTGTATCCTCCCCTCGGTCGGTTCAACGCAACCCAATAATCTCCCGGGTAGTTCCTTCTTATGTTATCCGGGAACCGGTCAACGGTGGCGAAAACGGACGGGCTTCCTATCCCATATCTTGAAAGTGGGAACCTCAGGATCCGGTTTCTGGTCAATTCGACCACGAGAAGGTAAGTGCTGTCCGCGGACAGGACGACCCCGTTTGGGAACGCCAACCCGCTGTACAGTACCCTCACTTGGGCGGTGTTCGGGTCGAAACTCAAGAGCCTACCCGTGGCGTCCGCGTTCGATATTATCTCGGAGAAGTTCATTCTCTGGTACTGGGTGCTGCTATCTGTGAAATAGACAAGTCCTTTAGAAGGATGAATGTCTAAATCATTGAGGAACTTGAAGGGAACCCCTTGGGTTGAATTTGCAAGGAGAGTAGTGATGCCACCATTTTGTCCCACTTTCATCAGTCCCAAATAAGCATCTGCTATGTAAAGTTCACATGTGGTGGGGTGGAACTTTAAGCCCAATGGTCTGCCGCAGAGTGGCTCCCTACTGGGGTCACTTGTTCCATCACATAATGCTCTATCCCTAGTCATAAAAAAATTACACATTGATTAATAAGTACTACCTTCCTCTCATTCCAATGTATCGAATTTCCGAGTCAAGCTGGATGAATTTTGATGTTCGATTAAAGAAAAGTTGCAATGTGTATTAGAGTCTGTTCTTTTGGGTTGAAATCCAGAGTTGGATTTTGAAAGAAAGTTGAAGGAGTTGGAAAAGTTAGAAAAAGTTAGAAGAAACTTGAATGAGTTGGAAAAACTAAAAAGAATTTCAGAAAATATTATAAGTTAATCCTTCCGTTCTAAGAATATTTGTCCATTTTTAATTTTTTTTGGTCAAAATTGGTAAATTTTGATCCTAAACTAAATAAAAATGATATGAGATGTTGATATAAAAATAGTTTTATAATATTTGTTATATAAAATATTATCAAAATATTTATTTATCTAATTAATATACAATATTTATTTTATTTAATTATAAGTCAAATGTTGAAAATGGTTAACTGAAAAAAGTCAAAACTGAACAAATACTTTCAGTGATAAAGTCATTATGTAATAGTCCTATTTAGGTAAACGCAAAAGAACATAGTCCAAGAGACCAGTAAAATAACATAATTTAACATAAATGGTAAATTAACCTGATTATACACATTTAAAAAGCCACATAACTAAATAAATTTAAATACTTTATGAAGTAAGTTTTGATATCCAAAACTCTCAAATAAAATTTTATTTAGTGGTAATTAGGGAGCAGTTAATTTAGAGTTCCTGTTGGTATTAACCACTAAACAGTACGATTCTTCATTTACAATTACGGAGTACTAGCATCACTCTCGTGCGTTGCACGGGTCATACTTATATTACTAAATTAAGATCATTTTTGAAGGATACAATTTCTTATCTAATACTCCCTCAGTCCCTAAAACATCTTCCCCTTTCATTTTTTCTTTGTCCCACAAACTTCTTTCTTTTCCTATTAAAAAACTACTTTTACCCCTTACTTTTTCATATCCTATTTATCACATCATACCTTTTTTCTAATAATCTATCTATCACATCTTAATTTTATCAATCACATCAAGGGTATTTTTGGAAAGTCAACACCAAAATATCCTTCCTTAAATTTCCAAAAAGATTTTATTATTTTAATGTAACTTCTTTCGGGACGGAGAGAGTAGAATATAAAGATTTTATTATTTTAAGGTACAAAAGTTAATTATTTTACAAATAACGAAAGACTTCTTTATAAACTACATTACTCGTATAATTTTTATATATCAAACTTTTAAAACATTTATTTATTTAAAGACTTCTTCATGATTTTCTACTCTGAAAGCATGAATCTTATTTAAGAACTCAAGAGAGTGTAAGTCATTCAAAAAATTTGAAAGAGGCTAATTACGAAAAGTGATTGAGAATGACTGTATTTAAAGTATGAAAAAATTAAAGCATTTTTCTATTTCCATGCATCTAATTTTTCTCGGGTAAGTTATTAATTAGTGATTGATTGTTCAACATATAAAGGTATATATTATTCAATACGTTTCCATGTATTAAAGGCACACCTCTTAAAACGATGTCTCCATAAAACATTTGGGCCTAAATCTCTAAATGGAAACATTATTAAATTCAAAGTTTCTTTGGTTAAAATTATTACACGATAATAATAACTAAGTAAAATAATATTATTCCACGGTATATTACTATTATTATTATTCTTTCACGACAATAAATTAATAATGATTAAATACATTAATATTATTGCACGGTATATTAGTATTATTATTTTTTCTACATGGTAATATATGATTTATTCTTGCTACAAAGTAATTTATGATTTAATTATTATTTCTATATTCAACACTTAACATATGTGCCACCATTTCTATGTATTACTTTGACATTTTTTTATTTAATTTCTTTTATTATTTTTTATTTTGATTTTTTTAATTGTGCCTTCCTTAAATGCATAAACTTATATATTTAAATTTCTTCATAAAATATTTGGCACCAAATCTCTAAATGGAAACATAATTAAATTGAAAGCTTATTTTCTTAACATAATCACACCGTAATAAATTAATAATGATTAAATATGGTAATATTAAGTTTGGCCATGTTCTCTAAATAGAAACATTTTTAAATTGAAAGCTTCTTAGATTAGAATTATTATACAATAATAATGACTAAGTACGGTAATTTTATTACACAGTATATTATTATCATTCTTCTTACATGGTAATAAACTAATAATGATTAAATACGGCAATATTATTACACGATATATTAATATTATTATTCTTGTTACACGGTAATACATGATCTATACTTATTACACGGTGATTTATGATTTAATTATCATTTATTTATTCAACACTTACTATATGTACCACCATTTCTATGCATTACTTTGACATTTCTTTTAGATTTGATTTCTTTCCAGAAAGGAAACAAATGGTTTGTATGATTAAAGTAGTTTGTTTCTTAATTGGGAATTATATAAATTACGAAACTATAAATTAAATGCATTGATTAAAAAATTTACACCTTAACGTGATTATTACCTTTTATGGACAAATATTATTTTTAGTTGAATGGTAATCATTTTTTTATTATATCAATTCCAATTTTATAAAAAAGTTTGGTATTAGAAAAGAAGTTTATATAAATAATATTTTTTGTTTCCTTTTTAGAAATATATTAGGCATCCGAAGTTTCCTTTAGTTTATCATTCTAAATAAGAATAGAGTAATTAAGTAATTATGCATGCGAAATTATTCTAGAAAGGAAACAACGTAGATCTTGTTTGCGAAATTAGTCACTTCCTTTTTTATCAGAATTAAGTAATTATGCATGTGAAATTTCCTTTAATTTATCATTCTATTATTCTTAAAAATATTTTCTTTTAAGAATATAGTGATTAAGTAAATAATTACCTATTTAATTAGGCATAAATATTTACTTTTTGATATAGTAATCATGCGTAAATTATTCCAAGTAATTATAATGATAATAATAGTAATAATTAGGCGTAAATAATTACTTGTTTAAAAAGGAAACAAAATATAAAAAATCTCCTGCACCATCCCTTTCTTTTTTATCACAATCAAGTAATTAGGCGAAATTGGTTAGGAAACAAATTACTCCCTTCCTTTTTTATCAGAATAGAGTGATTATGCATGCAAAATTTCCTTTAATTTATCATTCTAAATAGGTAATATTACACAACCAATCATAGCCGTAGATCTTGTTTGTTCCTTGATATCGACGGTGCAAGAGATGAGTACATTGGGCGGGAAAATAATTCCCCTGCTTTTAAGAATAGAGTGATAATGAGTCTCAGCAATCATAAATAATTTTCCATTTAAGTAGTCATTAATTATTACGGATTAATTATACTCTTACATTCGAATTACTAATCAGTTAACTAAATTATTCGAATTACTCCGTATTTACGACGTGTATTTTTAAATAATAGAAAACAATTATTCGTACTTTTTATGGTTATTAAACATGGATTTTAACAGTGTTGTCAAAGTTATAAACACAACATTTATATTTGTGCAATATTTGTCTCAAATTAAATTGTCTATTTAATATTCACATGGTCAAACTTTATTATTCTTTTCTTATTTTCATCAATTATTTGATGAAATAATTTAGTCATGTCACTACTAGTTTTGTACATTTTTTGATATAATTTTTAAATATGTAATTTTTATTTTTTTAATTTTACACTATTTTTCATATAAAATGATTTGGAAATAACTTCCATTAAACATCGTAAACCAAAACTGGCAATATAAATTGGGACATAGGGAGTACAAAATAAGAGGTGACAAGACTGTATTATTTTTCTCAAATGGGTCCCGAAATCGGATCAAGAACGTAATTAAAATTTGACTCTGTAAATAGCAAATAAACAATCTAAATTGAGACGGAGTGTAAATCTCTTGGTACAAATTTTCTTCACTTTAAGGAATAAAATTTAATTTTAACTCAATATGTTCTTTATGCATATTATGTTCAAAATTTATAATTTTCGACCAAAAATATAAAATGCAAAGAATAAATTTGGGAGAATAAAAAGTGGACGTACCTATTAGGATTTGTAACAGCAAATTCAACCCAAATTTTTTCTTGTTTCTCCCATCTCAAAATTCTACCATCCGAAACACCGGTATATGGCCCTTTACCGTAGCAGTCAAAAGCCAGACTTTCGGGACCCACAACTCCGGCCGGTAAATTTATCTGATGGTAATTTTTCACATCAGGTAAAGAGACAACACCTACAGTTAAAATAACTAGAACAAAAAGAACCCGCGAGGATGATGACAAAAATAAAGTCATTGCTCGACGATATGGATATTACTTTGAAGAGTTTTCTGGAATGAAATAAACTGGAGTTCGGACAAGTATTTATAAGGGGTATGTCTCATGGTATTAGAGTTTCTAATCAACTCAAACTCATTAATTAAATATATCGAACAACAAGTTATTTGTAATTTGTGTTTGATCATATGTATAGTTCTCCTTGGGTCAAGTTAAGTATTTTTTACGTGGTTTAAAAAAATATAATATGATAATACAATAAATAATTAGAGATTTATGTAGTGAAAAAAATAATATGAAGGATTTTAATACACGGAGTATTTTAGTTATTGTCATATGGAGTAAGTATTTATATTGCGGCTTTTGTATTTAAGTTATCATTTTCTTCATTCCATAAAAAGAGTTGTACTTATTTGGCCAAATAACACCAGTGTCCTTTGTGGTTTGCAAAATTGGCACTAATAATTTTTCTGTTTTTAAAACTTATTTCTAAAGTACTCGTAGTTTCGAAATGTTGCACCCAAACCCATTCTGATTATTTTACTGTCATTTTCTAGCAAAGAAGGAGCATTAGTGTTTATTTTTTGAACCATAGAGGTCACTTGTGCTCCTTTCTAGCTAATTTTTTTGTTTATTACAGTATTTGGTTTTTTCTCTTTTCTAACTCTTTTTAAATCTCTTTTTTTCCAATTCCTAGTAAAGTTTTTTAAATTTCTTTTCAATTTTTTATGATTTTTTTAAAAAATCAAAATTCTTTGTGTTTGAAATGAAAATAAAAATAAAAAATTAACATATACTTTCATTTTTTGTTCTCTTGAATAATCTTTTGGCAAGTTCAAAAAAAAGTCCAAAATAAAAAATAAAAATAAAAGATATGAAAAAACAAAATGAAAAAATCAAAACATGCAAAAAAGAGTTTTATACAAAAACGAATTTTCAGAATACCCGAAGAGTCCTTAGATATGGAATGTCTAAAAAAAATATTCATTTTTATTGTTTGTTTTATTCCTCACTTTTTGAAGTTCTCAAAAAAGGTTTTTACATTTTTATTTCGAGAAACAAAAAAATAAAATTTGTTATTTGAGACGTACAGGTGCAGCATATTTTCGTTTATATTTTTCAAACAAAAAATAATTTTAAATTTTAAGAACATTATAAAAACCATTTTAAATAGAAATTTAAAAACCCTTGATTAATTAAAAGAAACAAATAAAGAAAAAATGTAAAAAGCAACAAATAAATGAAAAATAAGAAATGAACACTAGTGTCCCTATGGTTTGAAAAATAGGCACTAATGCCTTCTTTTTTGCCGGAAAATGCCCAAAAAATGATCAAGAAGTGATATGAGTGCAACATTTTGAAACTACGTTAACTTTAGGAATAAATTTTGAAAAGGAAGAAGGTATTTGTGCCTAATTTCCAAAACTACAAGGGTAATAATGGTATTTGGCCGGAGGAAGTATAACTCTTTTTATTATGGAATGAAGAAAGTGATAACTTAAGTACAAAAGCCACAACATAAAAATTTACTCTAAATGAGAATAACTAAAATATATTAAAACAATTTACATTATTTTTATTTTCTCTACATATTTCTCTAATTATTTATGGTATTGTCATATTATATTTCTTAAAAACCCTGTAAAAAAAGACTTTACTTGACCGAGGGAGAATTACACATATCATCAAACACAAATTACAATAACTTATCGTTCAATATACTAAATTAATGACTTTGAGTTAATCAAAAACTCTTGTACTATGAGACATACCACTTATAAATAACTTGTCGTGCAACTTGTATTTTACGGAGTAAATTTCATCTTTATTTTTTTAACGTTTCAGATTATTTACTCTCCTTCAAGAAAAAACATTTGTGTTTCATATCCTTTATGTTTTAGATAAATCTCAACCACACATCCTTCCAATTTTTTAATCTAAATGCGTAAGTGACATTTGATAAAATTTCAACCGGAAAGAAGAAAGTATGGAGTATTTGACAAGATCACACCTTTAATTTTCCTCTACTTAAAAATCACCAAAATTAGAAATGAAACAGCCATTTCTCCAAAAATAAGAGTTTAGCATTTTTTTCTCTAAAATACGATTAATGTATTGCAACAATGTGACAATATATATTAACATTTTACAATATTTTTATGCTATATGTTGAATTATTTGCCTGCATTATGATACTTCTTTAACTCATTTGGAGAATAAAAACATGAAAGTTATATTGTGACTATTTTCTTATGTTTTACTCCATCTGTCCCAAATTATAATGTTTATTTACTATTCACAAGGTCAAACTTCATTCACTTTCTTAGTTTCTTTCTCTATTTTTGTTAGCAATTTGATAAAATAAAATACTATTGTCACTACTAGTTTTGTAAATCTTTTGATGTAGTTTTTTGATATGTAATTTTTATTTTTAAATTTTATACTATTTGTCATATAAAATAGTTTGAAAATAATTTCAGTCAAACATCGTAAACCGAAACAGGCGTTATAAAATGGGACGGAAGGAGTACTTTTCTCTCTTTCCACTCTTTTAAATTTTTTTTCTTAATAGCTTGTTTGATTAAAAAAACTACGTAGTAGTATTTCTAAGGGTGCATTGCCCTGACCCTCCAAATCCTACCTTTTACTCTTAGGGTGCCGGAATTATATATTTTGTGGATCTGTAACTATAGTTGAAGATCCCAAAAAGTTTTAGGCTCCGTATTAAATAAAAAATTTTTTAGTCTTGCACGTGAGAATACATTTTTCTAAAAATCGAGTGGTAGTGAAGTTTGGATTTGTGACTTTTTGTAACCCCCAATCTACATAACCCAAATATAGGAACTAAATTAGCATTTAAACACATTAATTTTTCAAACAAAAACATTATTTAAAAATTCATCGGAATAATGTAAATTTGTGTGGAAGCTTAAGTAATCAATTCAAACACAGCTTTGGGTTCACACTCAAAAACATAATAATCCCAAATGGAAATATTTAATAAAAAAACTTTCGAAAAACATTTTATGTAGTTTTTTGATATGTAAATATTATTTTTTTATTTCCTATATCAATACATAAATAAAATGAATTGAAAAAACTTAACATTTTACCTCGAGAATACAAGTGGCAAATATTTAGGAACGGAGGGAGTAATCACTAATAGGATTCCATACACCAAATAGAGCTATGCTAGGGTGTACCCCAAATGTACACCACTCCCTTCTCCACCACCCATTTTTATTTGATTTTTATTTATTTATTTATTTATTTATTTATTTGAATTTTTTGCCAATTTATGTAACCTATTCTAACTTCTAAGCTGAAACTATTTTAGTAACAGCAACACAATTCAACACGAAATCAGAAGACCTCAAAGAGTAAAAGTGAGGGCATGGGAGAAAACCTCAAAGAGTAAAAGTCGGCAAAAAATCAGAAGTTAGAGCTTTTCATTGAGTTGTTTTTGGAAAATGCCATACACCAAAGGTGTACCCCATTTGTCCTCCACCCCCTCCATTACCACTTAAATAGGCAAGAAATTTAAAAAAAATTAAGTAAATAAAGATAAAAAATAAATGAGTGGTTATGGAGGGGTGGTGTACCCCTAGTAATGAGTGGTTACCCGTTGTTTTTTTATAGTAAAATCAAATCTTGCACCTCTAAGACTTGTTAAAAAATGACACACTATTACCATTAGTGATTTTTGCTGGGAAGATTTTCTTTCTTGTTTCCGATTATTCAAAAATATCTTATGATCCATTTGCAGGTTGTAGGAACGGTGGGCTACGCAGCGCCGGAGTATGTCCAAGCGGGCAGACTAACAGCGAAGAGTGACGTATGGAGCTTCGGGGTGGTTCTCTACGAGCTGATCACGGGGCGGCGGGCGGTGGAGCGGAACCTGCCTCGCGGCGAGCAGAAGCTATTGGAGTGGGTGAGGCCCTACATGTCATCGTCGGACCCAAAGAAGTTCTACACCATTCTTGACCCAAGATTGGAGGGACAGGATTGGGGCGAGTCGGCGCGCAGAGTGGCCTCGCTGGCCAACAAGTGCCTCTCGAGGCAGCCCAAGTCTCGGCCCAGAATGAGTGAGGTGGTCGATGCACTCACCGCCATCACCGCCGCCACGGCCGTGGCGGATACCTGTGGCGGCGGAGGGGAAGGGGAAGAGGAGGAGGAGGAAGATGGGGGGTTTGAAGAATGTGGAGGGGGAGTGAACCAGAAGAAGAAGGGGTTTGATCATATCAGGGAACTGATCAGTTCAAGGGCGGCCAAGAGGATTGGGAAGAAGGTGGATTGGAGGAATTGGACGCCCGGTTTGGTGAGAACGCGGTGAAATCCCGCCCGCCCGATGATGACCGGAGTGAGTCCAAATGTATAGTTTGTTTTAAATCCACGAGTATCTTATGAATCTTAATACATAAATGTGCTTTGTAAAAAGAAATAGATCTGATTATGAGTCTATGAAAGATATGTGAGAAGATCTATATTTTATATGCGGGCTTTAGAACCATAAGAGCACAACTCTAAGAACAAACAAAGCAAAGAAAAAAACACAACTAATTCTCGTCTTAAGGATGCACTTTCTCATAGTATGTAGTCATAGCTGAAGAAATACTCCGTATTAACAAGAAGACGTGGATACCATCACATACCAGATAAGGCACCCGTGGCTCACGGGCATCCGTTTTTTGTTTTGGATCACACCTATCCTACCCATACATTGGGTTTGGGTGGATCCATTTGCCCGTGTGTACGTATATCACAGCCAAAAGTAACTGTACAGTTGAGCTGATGATGATGATGACCGTATACCTGTCAAAACCGAACCGTGGAGTCATACTACATGGGCACAGACAGAGCCAAAAGATCACTTTTGAAATGTCCCAAAACTACTTGTTGGCATATAGAGGAGAAGCAGACGGTCTTGGATAAGCAACACCACCACCACCGTTTCCTCTTTGGGGGCGGGACCCTTTGCCTGCATTGGCATGCGAGTTTCCCGATTTGTCCTTTGACTCCTTTTTCAGAAGCTCCAATTCTTTGACTACCTCCTCCATGGACGGTCTGAACTTGGGTTCGGTGCAAATGCACCTGGAGGCAAGATTGGCTACCTTTTGTGCAACCTCCACTTTATACTGGCCTTCGAGACGGTTGTCCAGGAGCCTAAACACTCTGCGCTTGTTGCTCAAGTACGGCTTAGACCACTCCACCAGATTGTGCTCTCCAGTTGGCCTGTTCTTGTCAATTGCCCTTTGCCCTGACAGCAACTCCAGTAGGACTACTCCAAAACTATAGATGTCGCTCTTGGAAGACAAGTGACCTACACCAGATTTTCACAAAAAAAAAAGGTCAGGTGCTAAAGCACAATGAATTTGGTCTATGGTGCTAAGCAAGTGTATTAAAATGGACTCCGGTGTCATGATATGACATTGGTCCTTTTGGGGGCCCTACGGTGCTCTATTCAATCCTGAAGTAGTTCGTAACCCCCACTCTATGCACCCCTCCTTTGGGTGACAATCCACTGTCAAAATTATAAAGACTCACTTGCATAGGCAGCATGATTGAACAAACCAATACCTGTGGCTAAATACTCTGGAGCAGCATATCCATAAGTTCCCATGACCCTTGTAGAGACGTGGCTTTTATCACCCGTCGGTCCATCCTTGGCCAAGCCAAAGTCAGAGAGCTTGGCATTATAGCTCTGCAATTTCAGAATAACTAAATACTCCGTAGATTTGTTTCCTTTTTTTCAAAACATAAATAAATAAATGTGTGTGTGTGTGTGTGTGTGTGTTTCCAATATAAATTAAAGGGAATTTGGGATAAAGCACATACCGAATCAAGCAAAATATTTGATGTTTTAAAGTCACGATATATAACTTGGGGTTCAGCAGAGTGTAGGAAAGCAAGCCCTTTAGCAGCTCCAAGAGCGACTTTCAAACGCAGATACCAAGAGAGAGGTTGGAAATATGAACCCCCTAATGTTAAATAAATGAAAAACCAATATATATGTTAAACAAAACGATATGCATATGTAGGGGGGAAGGCTTGTTCTATATCTTGATAAACAAAAATTATGGTTTGTAAAAATAAATAAAGGGTAGCTTGTTATGCAATTCTTTCAACTTTAACAAAATCTCAAATATAGACTCAGCCCACCAAACCCCTCCATCCAAACAGACCCTAAAGAGGCAAAAATGTGTAACTCTGGGAGATGAAAACTCACGTCTGAACAAATGGTTCTCCAGGCTACCACGTGGCATAAATTCATACGCCAAGAGGCGTTGTTCATCCTCCAAACAATATCCATACAATTTCACAAGATGGGGATGAGAGAACTGTCCCAAGTAGTTCACTTCGGCCTGTAGTACAACAAAACATGAGATTCCACACAAATAGTTGAAGGGAAAATGTGTAAAAAAACTGCCCCAAATAGTTCAAGAGAAAATGTGTTAGAATTTCACCAGCCATTCCGTGTGACCCTGGTAACCTTCTTGGTTTAACTTCTTCACAGCAATTACTATGCCACTACCAGGCTTAGTTGCAGCAAATGTCTCTTCGTCAATCCAGCCTTTATACACCGAGCCAAACCCACCTTCTCCAAGTACACTGTCGGGACGAAAGTTCTTGGTGGCCGATTTGAGTTCAGAAAAACTAAAGCTTTTCAGATTGGGTGACTGCAAGATCTCGCCCTCGCTCCTAGGAGCTGGAAGCACAGAGTTCATGCTGTTTGAGTTTCTGGAATCACTCCCGCGGGTGCTTCCATATTTTGAACTTAGCCCTGGTCAAACAAATGGGCGAATGGCACATTCAAATACAAGTAGCAGAAAATAATGCTCTCTTTTACACTTTCCATTTTACACAAAGTTTTTTGTTTTTTCAGTAATGAAGATGTGGCTCACAATATTCGTTTCTCATCCAAACAAATCTTAACTGCACACTTTTTACTTTTCAACACTTTTCTTAAACTCTGTGAAAGTCTGTAGAGCATTTTTTGGGTCAAAGGAAGTATTCCGTATAAAGTATGCCAATAAAGGATTACACAGGACCCATATGTAATTATGCAGATGGCGTAACAGAAACAAATATAACTTGGACCCCAGCACTTATGCATAGTGAAAGGTTGACAAAAAGCCTAAAAAAGGGTGACGAAAAGCCTCTGAAAGTGTTATAGAAATTGCATATGAGATTATACATTCACATATACCTTAAAGGGGAAGTCCAGCATTCCCTAAAGGGATATATACAACAATGAGTCAATGAGTATGCTGTAAATATATACCTAAATGGAAAAAATGCTTACAAAATACAGTATAAGTATATACTCTATCCATTCAAATTTAATTGTCCATCTTTCCTTTTTTGTGGTGCCCAAAATTCGTTGTCTAGATACTATATTTGGAGAATAAAATTTGCTTGACATACACCCGTTCATGCAGTAACTAGTTTTGTCATTGAATCATAATCCTTAGCTTTGAGGTATTTTAGGAAGTGGAAAACAAAATATGGACAGATTAAGTTAAAAATAAAAAGAAAACTAAATCCGAATGGATTAAGTAATTAATTATGCACAGTTCAAATACACATGTCATATTCAAATATGGAAAGTGGGAAGTAGCAACAGATTTCCAAACTTAATTATACTCCTTATATAGGAATAATTATGAAATATTTGCACTAAATAGCACTAAAACTTAAGTCATTTCTCTAAATAGCACTTAAAATGTTTTATTTCCAAATAATGTCTAGAAGGAGAAATAATGTCCAGTGATGGCGAACATTACTTGAATAATGACTAATAAATAATGACTAAAAGTGCTACTCTGGAAAAAAACACATATGATACTATTTAGGAAAAGTCATTATGTTTAAGTGTTATTTAAATAAATTCCCCAATAATTATTCCAGAATTGGTAAAAGAGCATTAGTAATTATTGAAGTATTGATTGAGTTCATAACAGCCCAGTCCAACAACATCAGCAAAACATGCAAAATTTCTTCAAAAGAGACAAGAAGAAAAAAAATATGAAAAGTAGTCACCTGTATCAGGGGGGCTCTCAGCTTTGATCTTGGAACTGAAGCAGATCCCCATCAGAGAACACCAACTCTTGATTTCCTACTCCAAACTTATCTTCCCTCTGCAAATCACCAACAGAACCCATGGAATAGCAGATCTATGCAATAGTTCAGCCAGAATAAATAAAAAGGCAAAAATTAACCAAAAAGATTGCATTTTCCCCCCTATTTGATTGCCCAGCCCCATCAAAAAGCTGAAGAACATCAAATCAAGAATCACCCACCTTTTTGTTTTCCCTTGCCTTGCCTGGTTGGGATTTGATCTTTGGGAGAGGAGAGAGCAGTCGCTCTGAAGCCGATGATGGAAGAAAAGGCAAAGGGAAAGGCGAGCAGCTTTTGTTTGACACATTGACTAACCTTTTGAGCTCGGAACTGTTCACATATACTTTATGGAGTATAATACGGAGTAATCAAATCAAAATAATCTCCGGATAGCGACAAAAAGACAGAAGGGAGAGAAAAGTCATTAATGGCGGGATGGCCCCATTCAGCTTGGAAACGGAGCACTGACTTTAGATCCATAAATAAACCAAAAGTAATCGCTACGCTAATTGTTAGCTGAGCGTCCAGTATATTGCAATTTCATCTCACGCGATGATCGGATGATCCGAGAGTGCTGTTATATTTCATTTGTAAAATTATTTGTAAAATTGACAATTCCTGTTTCTATAATCTTCTAAATCCCACACGGCCACACCCCATGTCGTCCCGAACACACCCTCTCCTCTTAAATTGCATCTTCATATTAATTTTGATTTTAGAGTCAATTTTAATTCCAAAATCAAACTTAACTTGGGAGTACGATTGAAAAAGGTAATGGGTATGTTCGAATCGGATGGAGGTTTACCGGAGGATAGGAACCGTCAATTTCACGAACGTGACACCATAGCGCCACGGGTCATTCTATGACATTTTCGGGCAATATCACATAAATCGCTCCAAATTATTAGAGTACTCGAAAATACTAATGAAGCCTGGTGGTTTCAAACCTTCTCTTTGTCACATTAATTTTAATCTCCATTTAACTTATGATGGATATAATCCACTAGTACCACCAGGCAAGTTCACAGGCGCCTGGGGGTACCAAATTCTGGCCCCGCCTGACGTCACCAACCCCGGTAGACTGCCCGGGTGGATGTCGGGGGTCAGACATGTGAGATCATGACTTCATTCGCATAAGGCTTAAAGTCTGACCAGGCTTGACCTCACCGTCCCCGTTAATCTGCCCGGGTGGATGGCTTGAAGATTGCCCGGGAGGATGACTTGAAGACTGCCCGGGTGGATGACCTGAAGACTGCCCAGGTGGATGACTTGAAACTGCCCGGGTGCATGACTTGAAGGCTGACCGACCGGAAGAACAGTAACGTCGGGACGTGCTTGTTTTTATTATAAATACTCCTAAAAGCCTCATTTGTGGGGCATGCTTTAATTAATCCACACGGCCTGTATTTTGTAATAGCTCCTATTATCATTAATAACAAACCGGGTTACAGGTGTTTCCATCTACAACCCTTCCGATTACTTATACTTAACATTTGCGTGATAATTTACACCATCAAATTGGTGCCATCCGTGGGACCTCTTTACAAAAAGAAGCCATGACGAACAACAATATGGAATCCATTATCTCCCATATTTCCACCCCGGTGGAGGGCGTTACCCTGATCCCGGGAGGAATCACATCATTACCTTCTCTTTTCTCCCCCATGATCACCACCTTTACTACCCAAACAATGCCCAGTCAAGCTTTCCAAAACATTGGACAATTTATGCCCATTTTCCAACAACCTGGCGGATTTACTCTTTTCATCCCTGGGATGTATCCCCATGCTTTGGCTCAAAATACATCTCTTCCCAAAACGTTGGGGCATCCCCCGTCGTTTCAACAGGCCAGTACCACCCGGTCGATCATCCCGACAAAACCACCTGGGGAGCTGGAAAGGGCAGGCCCTTCTTGGTCTAGGAGGAGCAGATCCCACAAGCTCCACACTCAGGTCACACCCGGCGGGGGCGTGCGCTCTGTGCGCAGCAGGGATGAAGACTCGGATATTCCCAAGGGCCAGAAAAAGCTGCAGGGCAAAGCCGTCTAGCCGGAAGGTTCACGACGGTCAGTGTTCCAGAGGCTGGGACATGAGGGGCGGAACCAGAACCGACCGGCCAAAGAGCAGTTGGGGGTGAAGGTTCCCAAGCCAGGCAAATTCTACAGGCTAAAAGGTGGTAGGGTCTGACCTGGTCAGACCGGGCGCTTTGACCCTTGCCTCCGTGATGAGCCCCAACACAGCAGGGTGTCTAGAGCGGAGGGCCCGGCGGAAAGCCAGCCCAGAGTGGCGATGCGCACACATGCTGAACCACCCAGCAACCAGGTGGACAGAGCGGAAGAACGTTTGGAGAGGCTCTTGAAGAGAGTTCGTAGGGAGGAAAAGAAGAAAGTGGTGTTGAACAACCGTTTTATCATCCGCTAAGACCGGATATGTACCATCCCAATGTTCAATAAAGTTGATACTTTTTCAGAAAAGATGGTAAGACCGGTAGGGGAAGGTTGCCGACCCATCTGCCCGGCCAATGTTCAATCGAATTGAGCATTACAAAACCACCCGGGCTTAACACCATACTTTTTCAGAAAAGATGGTAAGACCGGTAGGGGAAGGTTGTCGACCCATCTGCCCGGTCAATGTTCAATCGAATTGAGCATTACAAAACCACCCGGGCAGAACACCATACTTTTTCAGAAAAGATGGTAAGACCAGTAGGGGAAGGTTGCCGACCCATCTGCCCGGTCAGTGTTCAATCGAATTGAGCATCACAAAACCACCCAGCTGGAACACCATACTTCAAATCGAATTGAACTCCAAAAAAAGAAGATAAAAGTATGTGACATAGGCCCGGCCTGGTACACTGGTCTCACACCAGTCTTGCACAAATTAAAAAAAAACTGCAACCGAGTCGAACTGGTACACTGGTCTCACACCGGTCTTGTGCAGTATAAATAAAAAAAATAAAGAAAATATGTGACCCAGTCGAACTGGTACACTGGTCTCACACCAGAATTGCACATATTTTCCAACAAGCCTGAGCCCAATCGAATTGGGTACACCGGTTGCACATCGGTTTCAGCAAAAAAGAGCCCTGTCGGACTGGGAACATTGGGCCTACCTCGATCTTCGATATCTTTCCCTGAACACTTTTTCACCTGGGCAAGGTCATGGTGAACCAACCTACCCAAGATAATTAAAAAACCAAAACTGCCCACCCGATCAAGATTCAGACTCGAGTGAGTGACGGGGTCACGATGAATTTGCTTAACTTGGCTCGGAGGACTTTTTCAAGAATATGTTCCCCCGTTTGCATGGCCGAGGCCATGAAGGGAAAGAGTTGATTGCCTTGCTCACTCGGAGGACTAGAGCTCTTCTTCACTCGGATGAAAGAAGAAATGACTCACATGATCAACTTGGAAGCATAGCCTGGGCATGCTCTGTCAAAACCCACCCGGGTGGCTTATTTTCTACTCAGGTAGAAAGAATGGTGAGATGCGTTAGACCGGGTAGATTCAGCTCGGCCGTGAACAAAGAGATTGAGAGTTTGAACAGCGGGGGTCAAAATCCTGCACCCGGTTGCTCAAGATCATGTACAGCCCACTGTGCTTTTGGTACTCATCGGTCCCAAACCCGAAGATCCCAATGTCATCAATCAGTTGCTGGGACACTTAGAATAACCGAATGCCGACCTCCCGATCAGAAAGTGCCTGGACAGCAAACTTCTGCGATTCCTGCGCAGCCCAAGCAACGACGTGAACAGCCCAGTCGGAGCGCTCCGTCTCCAGCTCAGTCTTTAGCTGGGCATTCTCCACCTCTTGCTGGCCCGTCTGCCCGGCCTTCATTTGGAGCTTCTCATCTGTCAAGCACCTGACCAGCCGGGTGGCCCACTCCTGCCCGATCCGGGAAGAGGAAACGACGCGATGACTAGGAGGCGGCGTACCAAGTTTCCGTAAAAACTTTCCCGCCAACCATACCCGAGGATTCAAAAAATTCAAAATTATTCAGACACTTGATTCCCGCACTTGATGGTGCCCACAAAGCCGAGAATCGGAGGACTCCTTGATGGATATAATCCACTAGTACCACCCGGCAAGTTCACAGGCGCCTGGGGGTACAAAATTCTGGCCTCGCCTGACGTCACCAACCCCGGTAGACTGCCCGGGTGGATGTCGGGGGTCAGACATGTGAGATCGTGACTTCATTCGCATAAGGCTTAAAGTCTGACCAGGCTTGACCTCACCGTCCCCGTTAATCTGCCCGGGTGGATGGCTTGAAGATTGCCCGGGAGGATGACTTGAAGACTGCCCGGGTGGATGACCTGAAGACTGCCCGGGTGGATGACTTGAAGACTGCCCGGGTGCATGACTTGAAGGCTGACCGACCGGAAGAACAGTAACGTCGGGACGTGCTTGTTTTTATTATAAATACCCCTGAAAGCCTCATTTGTGGGGCATGCTTTAATTAATCCACACGGCCTGTATTTTGTAATAGCTCCTATTATCATTAATAACAAACCGGGTTACAGGTGTTTCCACCTACAACCCTTCCGATTACTTATAATTAACATTTGCGTGGTAATTTACACCATCAACTTATATCACAATTTTATTGGAAATGAGTTTGAAGTCCTTGGGCTTTAAATTTTTATTTTTTTACATTTTGAATGCACATTTTGTAAGATGAAAATTAATAATATTTTGTTAATTAATTGAATTTAAACGACAATAACTCATTAAACAAAAAATTACATTAATAAAAAAGATTTGAATAATAATAACATAAATAAAAAATTAAAAATGACATTGCATTACGAAAAAAATTAATGGTTATTTTAGTAGTTAAAAATATGTTCAATCAAATCTGCCGTTAGTACATTGTGAATCTCTCGGTTTCGATTTATTAGCACTTTCTTCATTTATGTTCTTCATCGATTTCTTCATACGTGCTTACGTAGGCACCTATTTGTCCAAGTTGTAATAACAAATTGCAAACTTGTTGTCCTCCATGATCATATTATGAAAAGTAATACATGTATACATGATATTTTTCATTTTCATTTGAAAATAACACTTGGACAAACGATCTAGAATATGACACTTACCCTTCAACACCACGAAGGCTTGTTCAATATATTTATTCGTTGCCTCGTGAGTTTTTCTAGGTCATGCGTTTAAAACTTATTGGTTCATAAAACTGTGGAATAATCTGGATATATTTCATCGGTAAGATAATAGTCACACTTGTAAAGTGTCTGTCTAACCTCAAAAGACGAGTCACGTGCAGTCTAATTAACCCAATAGTCAA